TGATTAGATAGCTTTCTCAAAATTCTTTAATGTCCATTTCAGCGTACTACGGTGGAGCGAATTTTTTTATATATTGCACTATAAAAAACCATTATATAAAAAATATTAGACTTTTAAACCAGAAGTCAAATATAATGAGAATAATTTAAATGTTGCCATGATTCTACAAGTTTTGCTACATATAAAATAATAATCCTTATACAATAATGAGAAGCACCTCGTTCTCAATAGTAGTTGTTTAGAAATTAATTGAAATCGTTCTTGGGATGCTCAACAACCACATTTGGGGAAGTTATAACTGCGTCCTTTTGTCAAGCAAACTACCATGCTCAATTGGTCACGTTTTCACAGTTGGCTTCAAATATTTTGGAGATGGAGGAAAGTGGAAAAAATCTCTTGATCGGGAGATGGTGAGAGGTGTCTCATAAAAGTAGCTAATATAAGTAGATAATAATCCTCTTAAGCCCATGTTTGATGAAATTTATTTCAAAACCTTTTTTTTAACATACTAATTTTCAACCATACGTTCACATAATAAAACGCAAATAAAAAACTTTTTCCTGCTTTCAATCACACATTCTCCAAAAATTTATTATTCAAAACTTTGTTTTTACCAAAAAAAATGACCATCAAAGATGGGTTAAGTAAGGAGTTGGGCTTTCAGCTTTTACAGTCATATATGATCGATTTCATACTTTATATTCACTATTCTTCTCCTACTAATTCTCATCGGAGTTTCCAAGAGGGAGAAAAACCCTATCATTTCTTTGCAAGTTTTTGTCATGAGAATCACAATCAGCCGAGAAGGAGAGGGAGAGCAAATATCATTTCGAAAAAGATTTTTTAACATAAAATATTTAGATTTTAACTTGTTCGACAATTGTTACTTTTGTTTCAATAAGTAAATTGTGGCGTGGAATGAAATCAAATCGAAACGTGAAAAATGGTTCTGTTTAATTTGAAAAAGTTCAAAATGTTTTCAACAATTTAGTTTGAAAATAGGCAAACCACCATTTGAACTCAATCAAGTTCACCCTTAATAGATAGTAATGAAAGAAAAAAGAAAATAAAAGTGATTCCCTTAATAGATAGTAATGAAAGGAAAAGGAAAGCAAAAGTGATTCCCGTAATAGCGTCGAGTGATATGATATGAAAGCTAATGAAAATGAGGTTATGGGAAAAAAATAAAAGCATCGTTCTATTAGAAAAAATAGGGTTGCCGATACAAAAGAATTTGTATTTTGAAGATAGAAATGATTTTGTTTTGCTATGAGTTTATCGTAAATTATTGTTAGCACTATATTAAAAAAATAAAAAAAAAATCCCGCGCTGCAAGGACACCAGGGGCAAATGTCTGGTGTCCGCGGACACCACACTCCTCGCTGTGCGGAGGATTTTTTATTTATTTTATAATTTTTACACTCCGTACAGTGCAGAGTATTATTATTATTATTATTATTATT